TTTTGTATAGGTCACATATACATTTTGTACACGAGGCTATATGTTTAAAAATGTCTCTGCCTTTCCCTTGTCATCCAGACGTCCGGTTCCCCGACCTGGACAAAAGAGAGTCGCCAGTCTCTTTTGTCCTCTCCCTGAGACAGTCTGTATTTATAAACACATTCATATATGTGACAATGTGTTACTTTTTCCAGAAAACAAAGTGTTCCATACTCTGCTGTTTCGTCCTCTGCTTTTCCCCCCTCAATGCCGAATCTTAGAGAGATTTTCCATCCTTACATACAGAGATGCCTCATTAAAAAAACAAACAAAGCAGTCGCAGTTTTCCATTGCACGGAGGGACCGTGACGTAGCTAATTGCCGTGACGTAGATAATTGAGGCCTTACTTATGGACACATCACCTGAAGGCATTTATCCCCAACCTTTCCACACCTAATTGTGATTTCTGTCTGCAACTTACCTGGTGATGAGTCGGTCACATTGAGTCTTTTCTTATACAACCACCCCCTGAAGGAAGAGTCCCCCCTTACAAAATATGTATTTTTCAGTCCTGGGAACTGTTCTTGTTGCTGCTAATAGACACCTGGGACACTCCTGCAGTTGCTGTGGCTTTTGTCTGATGTGGGGGCCCAGCAAGAATGGGGCCAGCCCTGTTTGCTGGTGGAACGAGGCCCAACGACTGTAGAAATAGAATCTAGGTTTGGCTCTGCCCACCCTGACCTGCCATCTGAGACTGGACTTTTGCTTCCTATCTCTGATCCTTGGTTTCCTCAACTGGAAAACAAGGAGATAAGCCAGACCAAGGGTCAGCCACCTTTTCCTGTAAAGGGCCACACGGTCCACATTAACTTGGCAGGTGATATAATCATGGTGACGATGACCCAACTCCGCTCTTGTGACATGAAAACGGCCACAGATAGTGCATAAGTGAGTGGGCGTGGCTGTGTTCCAACAAAACTTTATTTACAAAAACAGGAAGTGGGTGAGATTTGGCCTGTGGGGCCCTGTTGCTGACCCCAGGACTAAGGGCATTTCCATCTCTTAGTTTCTGTGAATCTGTGAAGAGCTTTTCCTCTTCTACTCAGGGAACGGAAAGGGCAAACACCCACCCCGTGACCACATTGCCGGGCATTCGCTGCGGGCCTGATGCAGTTGACTTGGAATCCGCGTGGCACTTCAGCCGGGCAGGTAACACGGGAACCCGAGCTTGGAGTGGCTGTGTACCTGACTCACTCTCTTCTCTGGAAGCCTCCTCTTCTTAAGCCTCAACTCTTTTTTAGATTAGATTAGAAAATATTCTTAGCAATGCCAACCCCCTGTGCTCGTTCCAAGGATGGAAAGAGGAAGTCCCTTAGAGCGGTCCTGGCAGAGGGAACAGCCAAGTGAAGAGAGGGAACAGAAGAACACTTGGCGCGCTGGGGAGCGAGAAGGCAGATGGCTGGAGGCCCGTGACGAGGCAGGGGAGGGGGGGGGGAGTGGGACAAGATGAGGCCGCAGAGGTAGGGCCATGACACAATCCAGTGAAAGTTTTCAGTGAATCATTTTGGCTCTTGTGTGGAGAATCAAGCCCAGGCTTGTCCTTACAGAATGATTTGTTTTACACGAGGGTAATCCATTCATTCATCTCTAAAAGGGGTGAATGAAAAGCGCTTTTCGCAATCTCAAAGCTTGATGGTGAGTGGAGAGGAGGCAACATGGAAACCAACGAGACCTGGATTTGCCAACTCAGAGACACAGCTCTGTCCCGTCCCAGCTTTGTGACCTCAGGTGCTCACACAGCCTCTCTCCAAGTTCCCTGTCTGCCAAGTGTGGCTGCTGACCCCTCACTGCATTTCTGGCTGCTGTGAAAATGCAGGAGGATCAGCTTTGTGAGAGCTCTCTGCAAATGTGAAATGAGAGTTAAGGTCATGCTCGTGTTGTCATTCTTATAAGTGGCTTACCCTCTGCTGTTGGGCTTGCCTCTCAGGGCTGTGAAAGCATTGGAAGGGCTGGGTGACCCTCTCTCTTACTTCTCCTTGTGTTAGAGTTGATTGCCTTGTTGGGGCATTATAAATCCTTTGAAGACTAGATAGACCTTTTTTTTTTTCTCAATGACCTGGGAAATGTGCAGGGGAGACTAACACAGTGGAGGGGAACACTGAGCAGGGGTTAGATGGTCTGGTTTGCAGCTTTGGGCTGTACAACCTTAAATGGACTTGTTATCTCCAGTGGCCTGTGTTGTCTGAGGGGTCTGGACCTTAGGAACAGCATTGTGGCCATCCCTGACTTCCTTCTCCAGAAGCCCTTCCGTGAACCACCTCTACCCCCAAGTCTGGGCTGGGAGAACATCTTGAATTCCACAGCACACAGCCTATTTCCTTGTCTTGCGTCAGACCTGGAACTCCGTAAGGCCAAGACTTAGGCTTCTTGATATTTGTCTGATGCCTGGCACAGATGACGATCACATCACAGTAACTGCGTACGTCTTGTTCTCCCCATCGGCAGAGTATAGCTGCTCTCACACAGCCTTTGTCAGTGCTGTCGAAGTATTGATACTGGGCTTCTTTTGGTAGAAAGGTAAACAGGTTCAAAGAAATGAAGCCGGGTACCTGTTTTCACACGGCGGAATTGGCTGAGCTGGGAACCAAACTCAGGTTCTCGGAGCCATGACATTTCACTGTTAAGTCCATACCCACCCGAGCTCTGCTCAGCGACCTGCTGTTCCCTCCCTGAATCCCATCTTTTTTCTTTTCCTTTAAGACAAATCTTTTATCTCTGTTAGACTGAATATACAATTATTGCTCCCTAAGCGAACAACTCTTGCTTATAACTACAATTTAATTTCATGTTAACAGAACACAGAGGAATCCCATCTTCTTTGGTCTCCTCTGAGCTGGTTATTGTCTGCTAGCCACTCGGGATCCACCCTTCTTGGCCATCCCTGTGACCTTGGAGGATGACCTCTGGGCACACTTGCATGCTGGGAGCACAGTAGCCCGACTCCTCTCCCTTTCCTCTTCTCTCCTTGCTGTTGGGCAGACTCATGGTCTTCCTGTGCCCTGGCGGCAGCTCCTCCAGGCAGCCCTCCTACTTCACACTAGGTTTTCTTGGGTTCTTCTAAGTCTCCTCCCTCCTTTTGCCCCTTCAGGCCAAGGTTTGGTGACCTGCTGGGAATCCCCGGGATGCTTCCAGCCCTGGAGGTTCCCTCCAATCTGTCTGCATCTCAGCAAACAGGCCCTTCTTTGAACCCATTTCCAGCTCTTTAAACTTTTCTTCTTCAAATGCTCTTCAAATGCCAGCTGTTTCTTTTCCGGACCCCAATTGCTGCCTGTGTCCCTGCCTCACCCCCATTTTCCTTTGTCCTTCTTCTGATGCACCAGGAGTTTCACCTCCTGGCCAAACCACGCTCCAAGTGTCCTCGCATGTCCACGCTCCAGGGAGACTAGTTTAACCCGAACAGAATGTCCGTCAGCCTTTCCATTTCCTGCTTACCTACCAGCGGGCAGACACCCACACCTCCCCTCATCGGCTTCCTGCCTAGCGATGGCTCCCATCTCAAACTTTCTTCCCAACTGGGCAATTCGCTGGCCCCCTGGACCGCGGCATCTCACCTGATGGTCTTCTAGACCAACAGAGGTATTTTCTGGCTTCCGCCGACCTAGGGGATCCCAGACATTACTTTGGGCAGAGGGAGTGTTTCCCTTTGGAACGCAGGAGAGTGCATGTCACTGGAGTCACTCAGGAACAACTGTCTGCTGCTTCTGGATCAGGATGGACAGCGTCCCAGAGTGTGGACTGGATGCTGCAGTCTGGCTTCCCGGGAAACAGCACCATGGTGACCCTGGGGTCACGGCCTGACCTCTCGTGCCCTGCGTTGCTCCTCTAACATAAACAGCATTTCCAGATGGCCTGCATATTTCCACATTTTTCTCAACAATGGCACGTGGCCTCGGAGGCTGCTGCCCGCCCCAATCACGCTGTTTGCTCGCCGTGATGGGTGGTGCGAGGTGCACATGAGCCGTGGCTTGCTCTCTGCGTCTCTGCCTTGAAGTTGGCCAGCATGGCTTTGAAGCCAGGTTTCCAATGAAACCAGTGCAAAAGGCTGTTTTCTCCCGTGGAATGTAATACTTTGGACTGAAACTAAAGCAATCTTCCACAGATTATGCAAGAGCGTTTTTTAAAAAAGGGGTCTTCTGGAAAGGCACATTCTTCAGGCTTTAGGCGTTTTGATGTTCCTCGTTCCAAATTTTAAGCTTTCGCCTTCACATGTGTGTGCTCTCATGGTCCCCCCTAAACCCTGTGCATATTTTCTGACAACGCCCCCCAGCCCCCATCCCACCTCCCCCAGCAAGACCTGAAATGATAGACAGTCTGGTGAGCAGGGCTTTCTGGAGCATTGGAAAAGAATTGCTCCGAGCACAGCCAGGGGGTTGATTAAATAAGTTACTGCATGTACATGTATCGGACTCTAATACAAGCATCTGTATCTTCACGCTGCTGTGAATTTATTAGCAGTCAATTCAATGATAACATATTAAGACACTCAAAATTATCCCATCTTATGAAAAAATATGAACTTAAGCACGCCAAAATGTTACCGTTTTAGAATGGTTACCTCTACGGGGTTGTGGGTAATAATAATTATCTTCTTTTCCTGCTCTGTGCTTTCTAACTTTTTCCAATGACCATTTGTTAGTTATGTCATTTAAAGAGTTTTTTTTTTTTTTTTTTTTTTAAAGAAAAGGAACACTCCCAGCTTATTAGTGCACTATGATGATAACTATCTAAAAACACGTGGCTTGAGGTTTCTCCTACATACACATAAAAAGGAACAATTCTTTGAATGGGAACAAACACCCAATTGGGCCTGCCCATCCCTCACGTTCTGCATTTCCTGTGCATGTCGAGCAAGGCAGGAGAGGGGAGCGACGGCTCAGGGAGCCCTGGCCACGGCTGCGTGCGCTTGCTGATGCCCGCAGAGGGTCTGCGACGCCCAGGGGCAGCCGGCAGCCTTGCTTACCTGGAACACACTGGCCTCTCCTGGGGCTCTGGGCTGGCCAACGAGCAGGTAGGTGGTGAGCGCTGCCAGGAAGGGGAGTGACACCAGGCAACAGGTGAGAGCCCAGCGGGCGCTGCTGCTCCTGGCTGCTAGCCCGGCTCTCGCCTTGGGTCTGCAGCTGTGGTCCTCCGGCAGCATTTCCACGCTGGCTGTCTCCCCAAAGCCCAGGTCCTCTGCCATAGTCTTGCTGGTCCTGGAGACAGAGCTGACTCCTCCTGGGCAGGGAGACCCCCCATTAAATAGAAGACCAGCTCTCACAGTGGGTGAATTAATCACAGCTCCTCCTCCCCCTGCCTCTCCTCCTCCCGCTCCGCAGCGCCCTGCGGCCCGCCCTGTTAGGGAATGCACCGCCTACAACAGAAACCAAGTTTGGTTTAAGGAAAAAAAAAAAAAAAAGAAGAAGAAGAAAGCTTCCCAAACATATTTATGTATAGTGTGCTCATGTGCTCCTTCCTTCATTTACAGAAGGAAGTCAGGAAAGTCCCTGGAGGAGGAGAAATCTAATTCATCAAGTCAGTGGGTGGGGCAAATTAAAATATACCTGTTTCTGGGGCGGAGGCTGCCAGTTGTGCTGGTCTGGAAAGTGTGCTTCTGGAAGTGAGAGTGAGGGATGGGGGTGTGGTGGGGTGCAGCCTGGCACATGGAAATCGGGTTTGCATCACAGTGCGAAGTGCTGCCAAGCGCTGCGTCTGTCTGCACCTCACAGGAGTCCCATTCCCATTGCACAGACGTTCTGCAAGGTAAAGCCATGTGTCCAAGGTCGTCCAGGGATGAAGGCAGAGGAGCTAGGATGATGAACTAGTTCTTCTAAATCATGCTTTGGGGTTCTTGCCTCTCTCCCACACAACTACTCGTGAAAGGAAGGTGTATTCCTAGCCTGTGTTGACCAATTATCTAAGCAAAGAGTCTGAGGTCATAGAGGTGACTGTCTGTGAGCAGAGGACATTGACTTCTACTCTGTGACTAGTCCACAGCTGATTGAGCACCGGTGGTAAGCCTTGCCCAAAGCTGGGTGTGCATAGGGACCATAGGATGTGATAAAGGCTAACATTGATTAAACCCTTGCGTTGTGCTAGTCACTGTTCTAAGTGAGTTCAATGTATCGGTGAAATTATTTGATCCTGAGATAATCTTTTGGAGTAGTGATGTTATGATTCCCACGTGACAGTTAAGGGAATTGAAGCACGGAGGGCACACGGTAAAGCCTTGGCTGGGACTCAGACAGGCGGACTGCACAGCTCCAGCCATTCCAGGGCCCGTGGCGCCTCCCGCTGTGTCGTGCGTGTACTGGCCCCAGCAGGAGGTCACCCGTTCCAGTCAGGGGTGGGGAGGCTTCCTGGAGAAAGAAGCGGTGCTGGAATTAGACCTTGAAGCTCAAGGAGGGGGAGATCAGAGAAAAGTAGAGGTCTCTGCAAACAGATGGGTTTCAGGAAGAGAGCTTAAGGGTGTCCTGTGGCATTCGGTGGAAACCAGTCTGACTAGCGCCTCCATTCAATTGTTTTTTCTTTATATCACAGCCCAGCTCTTGAAAGGCCTTTTGTGACCTGGTCTCTGCCCACCGTCACCCCTCCCCAATGTCCAGCCTCACTGCTTACTAGCTTCCCAAGCTGCAGTTCCCTCAGTGTCCTGTGGCCAAGCTGCCCTGGGCACCGCGGTTCCCGCCACTCACTGTGAAACCTCCCCATCCTTTCCCTGCACATTGCTATGCTCCCCTAGTTTTTAACTTCGTGTAAAAAACTTTCCTGCATCTCCTTGCCTCCAAGCTTGGGTGAGATGCTCATCTCTGTTCTTCCCCTGTCACTGAGTATTTCATACTAGACCGTGATTGACAATTTTCTCATCACCCCCATTAAGGCATCAGATCTCATAGGGCGGACACTAGTTATATCCCTTCCCTGTGGCTGTAGCATCTAACATAGTTACTGTCACACGATAGACTCTTAACACCTGTGGAAATAAGCACCTAACATATTTTCAAAGAACCCCTGCAAGAATGGTTTTTATGTCCCTTGGTTACCTGTTCTTGGGTAACAAATCTAGTAAGAAACTTTTCCTTGAGGCTAACCTAAATCTTTGCTGTTGTAACTTTTAAATACATACCAACACTTACCATCTGATCATCCTGAAGGGATTTACAAGTGTGTTCTTAGCCTTGTATTTCTTTTTTAGAAAGTCGGTGCAGTTGAACAAACCAGGATCTTAAAAGTGGTAGGTGTATGGGTTCAACTGAAGTGTTATGTATTATCCACAATATAAAAAGGCCTTGCAGGATGGTGAATACTAAACACACCAGATTGGGGACCTAGAGACCTGGGTTTCAGTTCCTGTATCCTATGAACCTGAGAACTCTAGCAGACTAGCCCCGCTCGAACGTATCTGGCTACTGATGAACATGAGAACTACGCTTATTATAATTCTTATAAAGTAAGTTTCAGTGGATTCTGAGTTTGTGCCTGGGGCATGTCCTCTGGGAAAAGAGTGAGCGTTTTAGTTCATGGACCTATAGACATATCTTTGACATGATTGTAGTTGTAGATTTACATGTAGTTGTAAGAAATAATACGTTACTGTTTTCCCCAAAGGTAACATCTTGCAAAAGTATAGTATAATGTCACAACTCAAAACTGACATTGTCATTGATATTCAGATTTTACTACTTGTATTTTTATTGTTATTATTTTTTAAATCCTCACCTGAGGATATTTTTCCATGTATCTTCAGATAGAGTTGGAGAGAGAGAGAGAGAGACATTGACATGAGAGAGACATTGATTAGTTGCCTCCTACATGACCCTGACCAGGGCCGAGGACCAAACCACAACCAAGGCATGTGCCCTTGACCGGAATTGAACCCGTGACTCTTTGGTCCGCGGGCTGATGCTCTAACCACTGAGCAACCGGCCAGGGCTCCATCACTTTTATATCCACTCATTCACGCATATGTGTTTAGTCTTGTGCAATTTATCTCATGTTCATGTGGCCGTCACTCCTGGTGAGATACAGAAAAACTCCAGCACAGGATCCCTGTGCTGTGTTTTATCATAGCTCTCACCCTCCCCCCCCCTCCCCTCAACCCTCGGCAACATGAATCTGCTCTCAGAATCCATAATTATGTGATTTTATAAATGTTATGTAAGTGGAATCACACAGTCTGTATTCCTTTGAGATTGGGTTTTTTCACTCAGCATCGTTTCCTTAAAGTTCATCCACATTGCCCTGGCCAGTTTGGCTCAGCGGTTAGAGCGTCGGCCTGAGGTCCGGAGAGACCCGGGTTCGGTTCCCGCTAAGGGCACGTACTTCGGTTGCAGTTTGTCCCCGGCCCTGGTTGGTCGTGCGGGTGGCAGCCACTAGATGTGTACCTTTCACATCGATGTTTCTCTCTCTCTCTCCCTTCCTCTCTCTCCCTCCCACTCTATCTGTACAAAAAATGGAAAAATATCCTCGGGTGAGGATAAAAAAAAAAAAAAAAAAAAAAAGTTCATCCACATTATTGCATGAACTAATGACTAATCATTCAATTCTTTTCTTTCTTTTAATCCTCACCCTAGGACACTTCCCCCTCACCCCCACTTTTGTTCAGAGTGGGAGGGAGAGAGAGGGAGAGAGAGAGAAACATTGACGTGAAAGGGACACATTGAGTGGCTGCCTCCCGCACGACCCCAAGCAGGGCCGGGGATGAATCGCAACTAAGGTACATGCCCTTGACCGGAGTCGAACCTGCAAGTCATTGTTCCGCAGGTGGACGCTCTAACCGCTGAGCCAAACCGGCCAGGGCTCATTCATTTCTTTTGATTGCTGATGAATCAGGGGTCCCAGGGAGAGGCTTGAGTGGAATATTAATTTGAGAATCTCGTCCGAAGTGGAGGCGCCTCTTGCTCACAGGCCCTTAGTTCCCTGATCTCAAATACTTGGGGCCAGGTTTTAGGAAAGTATTGAGTCGAACCACGTGAAATTGCCATTATCTGACCATTTTTGACCTACAATAATACATTCACGTGGTTCACCCTAATAATACACTCGACTTGCCTTTTATTACATAACACTCTCAGTGAGGTCTGGAACAGCACTCTGTAATAAAATGCAGAAATATTAACGCAGCCCAGCATATTCTTATTGAGTGGAATAGATAAGGAACACACACACGCACGCACGCACGCATGCACGCACGGACACACCCTTTCAGGTCAGCTTCTGTGGCCAAGTGTGTCATAATAATGTTCAGATTTTCAGAGCTTTGAGGACTTCAGATTGTGGACTTGTATTATCACTGCCGTTGCTATTATCATTTGAGCCTCCTCTAGGGGCATCCAGAGAGTTGAAATAGGTGGTGGAAGGTACTAAGAAGCACATTTCAGCTCGGATTTAAGACTATGTCACTGCAGTGATAAATCATGCCACTTCCAAAGACGGGGCTTTCTGCTCCATGAATCAACTCGGGATCTGAACAACCACTTATGGGGGATATTTCGGAGGACCTTACAAACAAATTCGGAGATGAATGACGTCGACGTCTTGTCCAGCTGTTGATCTCACTGAGATGGGACGACTCTAACTCACTTCTGCTCTCCGGGCCTCCTTGTCTTCATCTGTAAAATGGGCCCAGCGGTTGGACGGTGTGGTTTCTGAGGATGCTTCTGGCATTAATGTTTTCAGGATCTCTCTGCTTCTCTGTGTCTTCTCTTTGCCCGCTGGTTCCTCCCCGACTCATCTCTACACGTCCTTGTTTTCTGAGTTCCCCTTTCCCAGACTGTGCTGTGAGGTATAGGAGGGATTAGGATGGGCACCTGGGGTGGGGAAGAAGACGTTTTTCCTGTTGCTTCCCAAATGGGTAAAAACAGTCATTTTTCAGTAATCACTTCTTGACATCTAAGCTTGTTAGGACTTGTGCAATGTTCAGGCTTACAGCTCCGTCTTCCTGGAATGGAGTTGGTGGTTGCAGGGCCTCCCCCTTCTGGTTCTCTTGGGAAATGAGCTGTGCATACGATGCAAGACGTTTTCAGTGATTGACACACAGCCCTCTCAGGGACAGCCCCCAAAGCGCAATCATTTTGAATGGAAATCTTTCTAAAATATAGTTTACACCTTTAAAACTGTTCATTTTCTTCCTGATTATGAAAGCAAAGTATTTTTGACTTTAGCAACTGAAAAAAAGGAAGGAAGCAAAAGCAATTATCCACACTCTCTAAACGAGGTGTTGGCAAGCTTTTTCTGTGAAGGGTCAGATGGTAA